GGATCTACATATAACCTCCTCCCTGGGTGACAGACAACAGAAAAGTGGATGAAGGGAGACGTCGGACAGTGTAAGATATGACAAAAGTATAATTTATAAATTATCAAGGGTTCCTGAGGCAGGGGAGACCTGGGAGGGAGGAGAGTAATGAGGAGCTGATGCCTGGGGCTTACGTGGAGAGCAAATGTTTTGAGAATGATGAGGGTAACAAATGAAAATAACCTTCTTATTGTCAGTATGGGAAATAAATTAAAAGAAATAATACTGTAAATAGATGATTAAGTTACAAAGATACAGTGTGTATTCAAGAAAGGGAGAGAGAAACCAATGGGGGAATATAGCTAGAAAGTAAGGTAGATTAGATTTTGTGACTACTGAAAACTGGGGGACGTCCAGACTGGGAACAACCATGAAGAAGGAATTATCCAGTGAAAACATATGGATAGCAGTAGAACATTGTCAGATACTGAAAACCTCATAAGTAGTAGCAGAAAATAGTGGAGATTATGACAGAAGATGAGCCCCTCACGTAGGAAATCATTCAAATTATGACAGAAAGATTCTCAAAGTAGAGTCAACTATAATGACATGAATGGAGTAAAATCTTTGGGACCTTCATTTGTCATTGGGGCATTAATCAAAATGTGAAGAAATAGCTGCAAACTTCTATTAATAATTTGAACTTGGAATGTAGGAAATATGAGCCTAAGGAAAATGGGAAAACTCAAAAAATGAAATAGAACACAAAAGATCATTATCCTAGGCATTAGTGAACTGAAGTAGACTGGTATTGGCCATTTTGAATCAGAATATCATATGGTTTACAATACCTGTCAATGATAGATTCAAGGGGAATTGCATTGCATTTATCATCAAAAAGCACAATTCAAGCTCTATCTTGAAGTACAATACTGTCTGTAATAGGGCAATATCTAACTACATACAAGGAAATCCAATTAATAAAACTATTATTCAAATTTTATGCACCAATCACTAAAGCTAATAATACAAAAATCAAAGAATGTTAAATATGTCTTTAGTCTGAAATTGATCAAATATGCAATCAAGAGGTATTGATAATTGGAATGCAAAACAAGTAATAGTACTTGGAAAATTATGGCCTTGGTGATAGAAACAAAGCTGGAGATCGTATGTTAGAATTTTGCAAGACCAACGACTTCTTCACTACAAATACCTTTTTTTCAACAGCAAAAAATGGGGACTATACACATAGACTTCTGCAGCAGGAATACACTGCAATAAAATTTACTACACTTGTGGAAAGAGACACTAGAGAAGCTCAATATGAGCAGCTAAGTCTGGGATCATATTATGGCAGAAATACCATCGATTGCTCATATGCAAGTTCAGGTTGAAGCTGAGCAAAATTAAAGCAAGTCCACAAGAGCCAAAATTCACCTTGAGTATATCCCACCTGAATTTCTAGAACATCTCAAGAACAGATTTGATACACTGAACACCAATGATAGAAGACTTGATGAGTTGAACATAAAGCACATCATACATGAGGAAATAAAAAGGCCATTAAAAAGACAAGAAAGAAAGAAAATATCGAAGTGGATGACAGAAGAGACTGAAACTCACTCTGAATTGTGGAGTAGCTGAAGAAAATTAAAGAAATGATTAATAGAAAGCTCAATTGAAAATTCCAAAGGTAGCTTGAGAAAACAAAGTAAAATAGTACAATGCAAAGACCTACAGTTAGACAACCAAAAAAGAAGAACATGCTCAGCATATCTTAAACTGAAAGAACCAAAGAAGAAATTCAAGCCTTGAGTTACAATACTAAGAAATTCTATGTGGAAAATATTGAATGATTCAGGATGCATCAAAAGAAGATAGAAATAATACACAAAGTCACTGAACCAAAAAAAAATTAATCGACACACAACCATTTCAAGAGGAAGCATGCAATCAAGAACTAATGGTACTTAAGGAATAAGTTGCATTAAAGGTATTAGCCAAAAACAAAGCTCCAAGAATTGAAGGAATACTAATTGAAAGGTTTCAACAAGCTGATGAAGCACTGGAAGCGCTTACTCCTCTATGCCAAGAACTTTGGAAGATAGTTACTTGGCCAACTGTACCAAGGTGACCCAACATAATGTGAAAATTATAGAAAAATATCATATGCAAGTAAATTTTTTTGAAGGTCATTCAATAATAGTTGCAACTGTACATTGACAGGGAACCGCCAGAAATTCAAGTCCTATTTAGAAGAGGACATAAAACAAGGGATTCCTTGTTTTATGTTGATGGATCTTGACTGAAAGGAAAGAATACCAGAAAGATGTTTATTTGTGTTTTATTGACTATGCAAAGACTTTTGACTGTGTTAATCATAACAAACTGAGAATGGGAATTCCAGAACACTTCATTGTGCTCAGGCAGAACCTGTACATGGATCGAGAAGCAGTTGTAGAAACAGAATAAGGGAATACTGCGTGGTTTAAAATCAAGAAAGGTGTGCTTTGGATTGCATCTTTTCACTACTTATTAATTCTGTATGCTGCACAGATAATCAGATAAACTGGATTATATGAATAAGAATGCAGTCGTAAAATTGGATGAAGACTTATTAATAACCTGTGATATACAGCAAGCAGCTCTGGTGGCAGGCAGAGAAGAATTGGTCAGGCGATCCAGCTTCCAGAAAGCTCTCAATGAGCTAAGGTCTACAGGCACTCAATAAGTGCCCTCTCCACAGGCAACATGCCTAAGGGAGGTCAGGTCTGCCGAAGGGGCAGTGAAGGAGAAGCCCAAGAGGAGATTGACAAGATTGTCAGCAAAACCTGCACCTTCAAATGTGGAGATGAAGCCAAAAACTGCTGCAGGATAGGATAAAGCTTCAGGGGGAAAAAAAGAGTGCAGGCAAAAGGGAGCATAAGAAAAATAGACTGAAGTGGCTAATCAAAAAACTAAAGAAGATTTACCTGCCAAAAATGGAGAAACCAAAAACAAGGAGAGGCCAGCATCTGATGAAGCAGGACAAAAAGAGGCCAAGTCTGATTAATGTTTATTTACAATGTCTTATAAGTGGGCCCTGTTATCTCCCTTCTTGTGCAATCCAGAGGAATATTTTTATCAACTATTTTGTAAATGCAAGTTTTTTAGTAGCTTTAGAAACATTTCCAAGAAAGGAAATCCCATTCCATCCTATTTTTAAAAGTGTATTTTTTTTATAGATGCGAAATAATTTACTGCTGGTTGTGTATTTATTGGATGTTGAATTGTACAAAGATTTGACTACCTTGGATCTCAACATTACATTCCATGAGATGGGGGGAGGAGTTTTAGTATCACTAATACAAAACACAATTGTAATTTGGAGTCACTGGCAAGCATTTGTATGACTTGACCACTTAAAATTCTGTTTCCATGTTGGTGGCTTTTTGGGTTTTGTTTGAAAATCATTTCATCATCACACTTTCTTGTGAGAACTGTGTGCGTTCTGTAACACCTTCGGTTATGGTAGTCCATTTTCCCGGATAACTTTGTTGCTGTGAAGGGTTGAAATTTTTATGATGTAACAGCTTATCAACATATAGAGATACTTGTACTTGATAACCTCTTACAGAAAATTTGCCTCCAAATTTCAAGCTGAAAGTCACTGAAATTTAGGAAAGACTTGTATTTACATGCCATTTTAGGTATATGCATTAAGAATTGTGTACAATTTGTTCATAATGTCTCTGTACAGATGTCAAATCAACCAGTAAAATATAAAATACTAGGCCTCAAATAATAAAACCCCAAACCCTATGATATACAGATAATACAACCTTACTTGCTAAAAATGAGGAAAACTTGAAGCACTTAATGATGAAGATCAAAAGTGTAATGTTTTTTATAGATGCGAAATGTTTTATAGATTAGAAATGTTTCTAAAGCTACTAAAACACTTGCATTTACAAAATAGTTGAAAAACAAACTTTCCTCTGGATTGCACAAAAAGAGAGATAACAGGGCCCACTGATAAATCATTGTAAATAAACATTAATCAAAAGTGATGAAGATCATTGGCTTACAGCTCAATGCAAATAAAGAAAACCCAAATCCTCAGAACTGATCCAATAGGTAGCATCTTTCTAAATGGAGAAAAGATCAAAATTGCCAAGGATTTAATTTTGCTTGGATCCACAACCAATGTTCATGGAAATAGCAGTAAAAGGTTCAAATATTTCATTGGATAAACCTACTGGACAAGAGCTCTTTAAACTATTGAAAACCAAGGATGCCACCTTGAAGACTAATTTGTGCCTAACCCCCTAACCCAAGCCATGGTATTTTTATTTGCCTCATATGCATGTAAAAGTTGGCTATTGAATAAGGAAGACCAAAGAAAAACCGGTGCATTTGAATTATGGTGCTACCAAACAATAGAAAGAACAAACCAATGTGTCTTTGCAGAAGTACAGCCAGAGTGCTTTTTAGAGTCATCATTTCATGTACCTTGGACATGTTATCAGGAAAGACCAATCCCCGGAAAAGGACATCATACTTGGTAAAGTTGGGGGGGGGGGCAGTGTGAAAATGAGGAAGTCTCCTGACAAGATGGATTGACACAGTGACCGAAATGTTGGGACCAAATGTGGGAACAATTATGAAGGTGAGGATGGGGCAGTACTGGGTGGTGTTTCATTCTATAGTACATAGGGTCATTATAACTCAGACCTCACTCAATGGCACCTAATGACAATGAAAACTATAACAAAGAGGTGAGGGTTATTAGAAAGGAGACACCTAGATGACATCCAGATTTTCTTTGAGCTCAGGCAACGGGGTGATGAATGCTATTAACCTGAGTTGAGAAACATGGGAAGAGAAAATTTATTCTGTTTACAAGGTGCCAGTCAGGTTTTCAGAAATCTAAAATTGATATGCCATGTTCTCCCACTAAACACTCCATATATCTAAGACATGACTGTAGACCAGAATTATTCTTCTTCAACCATGTCTCACAAGACAATTACCATCCCTTTTATAAATGTCATTTTAAAGTAGAACATACCCTCAAACATAAAATAATGCTACAGGGCTTGTTTGATCACAGGAAGATCTGGGACAGTATTTCTTCAATTGACTGATTTTGTAACTCGGTCAACTCTCATTTTCTCACCTTATAATGAGGGGTGTTGAATCAATGGTCTCTAAGTGACCTTCCTAAGGTCACATTAGGAGTATCTGCCTCCCAAGCTCCCATTTTTTCCTTTTCTCTTTTACTGTTATCATAGCAAGTGAAGCTCGGTAGTCCTGATTATAGAGACTGTGATCGTGAAGAAGTTTTGCAAGACTTTCTAAAGAGGATCGAGTGCTATGAAGTCAACTACCAGCCCTTGGATGAAGAACTTGACAGGTAAGAGCCCAGCTCCTCAATGTCCAGGTTAAATACTGGGGCTAATTATGATGTCCTATAGGACTGAGGGAGTGACAGTCTGAG